GAATTTAGTTTCAATTTCCAAACTTGATGTTGCTGCATACTCTTTTAAATTTGGTAGTGGTAGTTTCAGTTTGTACAAGCACAATCATTTGATTGGTAATGGTACTTTATGTGATGGATTATATAAATTATTTCTTGATAATCTTTATGCTGAAATGCTTATGACTCTGCATCATAATGTTGGTACTAAACGTACATTAATTAATGAATGTTCCGCTTACTTGTGGCACAAACGTTTGAGACACATTTCCAAAGAAAGAATGAAAAGATTGGTGAAGAATGAAATCCTTCCGGATTTAGATTTTACTGATTTGAATATTTGTGTGGATTGTATTAAAGAAAAACAAACAAAACACACAAAGAAAGGAGCCACAAGAAGCACTCAGCTTCTTGAAATTATACACACTGATGTATGTGGTCCGTTTGATGTTAATGATTTTAATAAAGAAAAATATTTTATCACCTTCATTGATGATTATTCACGTTATGATTAAGTCTATTTGCTGCATGATAAGTCTCAAGCTGCGAATGCTTTAGAGATTTATATTAATGAAGTTGAAAGGCAATTAGACAGAAAGGTGAAAATTGTCAGGTCTGATAGGGGTGGTGAATATTATGGAAGGTATGATGAAAGTGGACAACATTCAGGCCCATTTGCTAAATTCTTGGAAAAGCGAGGTATTTATGCTCAATACACAATGCCCGGTACACCACAATAGAATGGTGTATCAGAAAGACGTAATAGGACCTTACTGACATGGTTAGGAGTATGTTAAGCAATTCTTCTTTACCCGTTTCATTGTGGACTTATGCTCTAAAAACTGCCATGTACGTATTCAATAGGGTTCCTAGTAAGTCAGTTCCAAAGACTCCTTTTGAACTTTGGACTGGAAGGAAACCTAGTATAAGACACCTGCATGTTTGGGGTTGTTAGGCAAAGATTAAACACTACAATCCGCAAGAAAAGAAACTGGATGCAAGGATAATCAGTGGTTATTTCATTGGTTATCCAGAAAAGTCGAAAGGGTATAGATTTTACTGTCCTTACCATACTACAAGGATTATTTAATCTGGAAATGCAAGGTTCATTGAGAATGGTGAAGTTAGTGGGAGTGAAATACCACATAAAATGGATATTCATGAAGTGAGAATACAAGTTCCATTGACTTGTAGCTCTAGCAAAGTCATTGTTCCTCATGTTATTGAACCAATCAATAATAATGAAGATGAGTTGATGATCCCACTACTCATAAAGAAATTATTGTTGATGAACCAAGTGAACCCATAGTAGAAGAACCACAACAAATAGCATTAAGAAGATCTCAAAGAGAAAGGAGATATGTTATTCCTAATGATTATGTGGTATATCTACAAGAGTCTGGATTTGACATGGGTATTCAGGATGATCCGGTTACGTTTTCACAAGCCATGAATGGTGATAAGTGGTTAGATGCCATGAAAGATGAGTTGAAATCTATGGAACATAATAAGGTTTGGGATCTTGTTGAGTTACCAGAAGGGTGCAAGAGAGTTGGTTGTAAATGGGTCTTTAAGACCAAACGTGACTCTCATGGTAACTTGGAACGTCACAAGGCCAGACTAGTTGCAAAAGGATTCACTCAGAAAGATGGCATTGACTATAAAGAAACTTTTTCACCAGTTTCAAAGAAGGATTCTTTAAGAATCATTATGACATTGGTGGCTCATTATGATCTAGAGTTACACCAGATGTATGTGAAAACTGTCTTTCTAAATGGGAATTTAGATGAAGATGTGTACATGGACCAACCAATGGGGTTCATAGAAAAGGGTAAAGAGCACATGGTGTGCAAACTTAAGAAATTAATATACGGACTTAAACAAGCTTCACGACAATGGTACCTTAAGTTTAATGATACTGTTTCTTTTGGATTTAAAGAAAACATCGTTGATCGATGTATATATCTGAAGATCAGTGGGAACATGTTTATATTATTGAATCTGTATGTTGATGATATTTTGCTTGCAACTAACGACCTTGGTCTTTTAAATGAGACTAAGAAGTTTCTCTCTAGTAACTTCGAAATGAAAGATATGGGTGAGACAACTTATGTGATAGGAAGAGAAATATTTCATGATAAATCACAAGGACTGTTAGGTTTGTCTCAGAAAGCATACATTAATAAAGTTTTAGAGAGATTCAGAATGGAAAACTGCTCATCATCTCCAGTTCCAATTCAGAAAGGAGATAAGTTTAGTCTCATGCAATGTCCCAAAAATGAATTGGAACGAAAAGAAATGGAAGCAATTCTGTATGCATCATTAGTTGGGAGCTTAATGTATGCTCAGACTTGTACGAGACCAGTTATTAGCTTTGCAGTTGGGATGTTGGGAAGATACCAAAGTAATCCCGGTATGGATCATTGGAAAGCTGCAAAGAAAGTTCTGAGATATTTGCAAGGAACTAAAGGTCACATGCTTACTTATAGAAGGTCTAACGACCTTGAAGTGATTGGATACACAGATTCGAATTTTGCAGGATGCGTAGACACAAGAAAGTCTACATGTGGTTACCTGTATCTTTTAGCTGAAGGAGATATATCATGGAAAAGTGCGAAGCAGACTGTAATTGTTGCGTCCACTATGGAAGCTGAATTTGTGGCATGCTTTGAAGCCACGATTCAGGCTAAATGGCTACGGAACTTTATTTCAGGGCTTGGATTGGTCGACAACATTGAAAAGCCGCTGAAAGTTTATTGTGATAATTCCGCAGCAGTCTTCTTTTCTGAAAACGACAAGTATTCCAAAGGTGCTAAACATGTGGAATTGAAATACTTTGCCGTTAAAGAAGAGGTTCAGAAACTTAGAGTGTCTATAAAGCATATTAGCACTGATCTTATGATAGCTGATCCCTTGACGAAGAGATTACCGCCCAAGACATTTACTGGTCATGTATGTAGAATGGGCATTATGTCAGCTAATGAATGATGATACTTATTGTTATGTATTAAATGTAGACACTCTGAGCTCATTGATGAATATATGTTTCTGATATTGTCTTGTTTTCAATTTATGTATACATGCAAGTATATGTGATGATATTGAAAATATTTATGGTCCGTAATAAAGACATTATTGTTGGACATAATGTGTACTTCCTATTAAAGTATCATATTAGAAAGAAGAGTCAATATAGTGGTACATGGAAGGGACTATGTCGACTTGATAGCATAGAACCGCCATGACTCATGTTGATTTTATTTCTAATAATGAATTATGATGAGGTCAATGTATGGAACCTTTAGCCTAGTAAATGCGCATTATAATGAATGTTGATTAAATCATGAAGGGACACCTCATGACATGAGCCAAGTGGGAGAATGTAAAACCTTATTTGTCTCATGTATAATATTAGGTGTTATCTGATTTAATTAATAAAAGGGCATAATGGTAATTGACTGTTGAGGAAGTTATTTAAAAAAGGTAACTGTTGATAGGTGCAGTTACAAAAGAGTAATGGGGAGTTTTCTTTATAAATGGGTTTCTAGAAAACTGACTATCCATCTGAGTCTGCCTATAAGCGTCATATCTCATCTCTATCAGAAGAGGATACAAGAAGTGAAATGGTCAAGACTTAGAAAAGGGAATTCCACCATTAGAGATCTTTCGCGATTATGGACAAATGTATGTTATTGTGAAACTCATAAATTCTAAAGATCTGTTTCATGTTCTTGATGTGATTGTTATTGAGCATGAATTATTGATTAACGCTTACATCTTATTTAATAAAACAAGGAATGTTCATTATATATTTTCCTATTTAATAGAACCAATAAGGTTCAATATACTATATATTGTAATAAATCGATTAATTTGAATGTAATTTTCACGTTTTTACCCGTTGGAACCTTAAGGTCATTTCTCTTATTAATTACATTGCGCAATACCCTAGCATATGAAGCTGAATCCTACCAACCCGGCAACACATATACAAATTTCATGTCTCATGAGCACACTCCTAACACATTTGTGGCAATTTTACCTTTTCAACTTCTATATATTGGCTTGTCAGCCTTAAGAACATTAACAGTAATATAAATTTCATCTGAAGCTCCAAGATAACCTTATAATAGATAAGTAAACAACCTTTAACACTTTAATTCACGTGAAATAAGTACAAACAATGCAAAATTCGAAAAGAATATAATTTATACCTTAAACCATTTCCACCTATCGTCAGTGCGATTCTTAGGAATTAGATCTGGTACCTTCAATAAATTTTCTTGCAACCTCAACACAAACATTAAAACTAAATTGAAGTATCTACTAACAATTTCCCAGCTGTTGGAATTTAATCTTCACTACAAAAATTCAGGTATTTTGTGGGGGTCATATTTGTAAATTGTTGCGGTCTTTGAGCCCCACAGATGACATTAGTGGCATCTTGCACTTTCTGGAGGTTCTAGACCCTCACAAATGTTGTATTTTTGGAATTTTACTAACCTCTACAATATATTTGACTTTATGTCACTCATAAACCTCCACAACATTTATCATTTTCTAGAGGGCATAAACCTCCACAATTTATTTATTATTTTGGCAGGTTTAAACCTCTACTTTTTGTCATATTTTGTAACAGATTTATTGCTTCATTTAGTCTTTTCTTTGCGTCTGGGAATGATTATTATGTCTTATGTTAGATCAGTACCTAGTTCTTTCGATATTGATGTCTTACTAGGCATGTGGTCGAATGCCTTACTAGGCACTAAAATGTATATTATGGATGGTTTTTGTTACTGTCTTTTATATACCACTCTTGCATCTCATCTATATGTTATTTCAATAGATATGCGCCGAACAGTCTTTGAATATATATAAACACAATACACAACTTAATTGTGTTTTGTTAAATAACTCAAAGGATCAAAACAAAACTATTAAGATACATCCTAGGTCATGGCAATTTGCTTTTTATCATGGTTTGAGGTTTATGTGGTATACCTGAGTTCCAATGAGCTTTCCTTACTTATGAGCCATAAGACCATTCTCAGAAAATACATAGTCATAATCACTGGTAACTGCAAACAAGCAAAAAAGGGTCATACAAAAGATAAATCCTTCTATTTATTTCTTTGTTTCCTTTTTTCACGTTAATAGCTACTCTTATATTTATGGGTTTGCAAAAATAAGAGAAAGGAAGAAGAGAGAAAATAGTATGTAAAGGAAAATTGTACAACAATGATTATCAACTTATACAAGCAAACATAATTCCAGACTTCAGCCAATCCTGGATATCAGAATACAACAAACAAGACAAAGAAAAGAAACATATTATGTAATTAATTATTAAAAAAACACTAAAATCAATTTTCACAAAGTGGTTTCCCACATATTTTTAACATTACAGCATCAGAAACCAAAGCGCTACTTATAACTAACCTATGTTGCCTATTTGACCTTTCATGTAGGAAGTGAACTCATGGGTGGAGAATCACTCCACAAACCCTGAGTTTATTGAAATTTATATCTCATCCCGTTTAGGGACATGTTTCAGGTACTTCAGCAGCAGCAGAAGGGCCTACATAGGGCAAGAGGCCACACAGGGTGATTAGAGGACCTAGCGGGAGCAGATGTATAAGATACTTTTGGATGACTATATTCATATGTTATTTGAGCATGATGTATAAGATCATGCATATGTACAATTGATGTTCATTTTGAGAAGCATGTGTAGCCTTTGTATATTTGCATACTGAGGACATGATTATGTATATGAATGTATGTTTATTTTGTGAGATGATATCAGTAATGGCACGAAGCTATATTCTGGTATATGTATATAGATAGATTAGACTTTTTTGTATTTCAAGTACAAGATTTATTAGTGGGATATGATCTCTGGTTAGTCCAATTTCTAATTGTTATGTTGTCTGTAAGTCCTATTCAAAATGGTACATGTTATCATATTCAAGTTATTTGATCATTAATTGTGGTCACAAATTATCAAGTATAGATTATGTGGAGGTATGATACTGTACAATTTATAATAAATGAAAAATAAGTTATGCATGACAATTACAAAAAAAAGAACATAAAGGAAAAAGTTAAGTCACTTAGTTATAGGGAGCTATTGTGATACTTTATATTGAATCTTCCGCTACTTTAAACAAGTATGTTACGCTTTTCTTACCATATTGCATGTTAACAAACTGGCTCGAGACAGGGCGTTACACGTTGCACGTGAGACCCTTGTTACCTTTGTGCTATTGAACAAGTTGGGGCTACAAAGACGAAGAGAAACCAACATTAAAAAATAAAAAATGGGGCCAATAACAATAAAAAAAAACTTGCGTTTGAAATTGATAAATCACAAATGGATTTAAGAAAAAAACTTGTGTTCAAATCAGCGCCGCTGTGCTTGGTAGAACGAGAAGAGAAAGGTGAGAAGGGATTAGCCTCTAATACATCAACCTTTATCAGGTTTAATCCCACCCCTAGACCTGAAATGACGTATTAAGGGATCATGTTATATAAGCTTATACTATATAATGATCACATCAAACAACTTAAAATGTTATAATGTATAATAGAATCGTATAATATAAGGTCTTATACACTGCACCAAATAGTATGGGTGTTCGCAGTATGGATTGATCGATTTTGAAGCAAAAATCATTTGATTCAACCCTTTCGGCTTGATAATTTAATCATCCATTCAATTTGAATTTTTTTTAAAATCCAATCCAATCCAATTTTATTTGGTTTGGATTGAATCGATTTTCGATTTTTAGAAAAGCCTAAAATTTGAGTCATACAAATCACTAGCTATATCAAAATAAAGTCATGCAAAGTTACAAACCACTGGAAATTCAAGTCTTCAAATTAAAACAAGTCTTAAAATTCATGAAGAGTTAAAATAGATTAATAGACAATAAAAAATAAAAACAAGATAGTTTGTTATCAATAACATCCAAGATTCCAAGTCTATAAAAGAACAAGATTTCAAGTCATTATGTTTCGAAAATAATAAATACATAATACATTGTATTGGTTTGGATTGGATCGATTTTCACCATCCAAATCGATCCAATCCAATTAAAATATGTGGTTTTATTTTTTCGATTTTTGGTTTTCTATTAATTCGATTATCAATTTTTTGGTTCTGTCACCGCGGTTTGAATCGATTTGATCAATGTTATTAAACTCAGCCCGATTATTGACCCGGTCAAGGTACTGGGTCACTATTTTAACCGCATGTCTGGTAAGTATATGTAAATCTATATTAAAAAACTATAAATATACTCAAATACCTCTGAAAAATGATACAAATTCCAAATATTTTAATATAAAAAACAATAAATTACACATCATTGTCCAACAAAAGATCAATCAAATATATAATACTTGTGATACTGGTGCTTCAGTTTCAGTAGACGACATCTTTAACTATAAATCAAATCAAAATTCTTTGCATATTGCATAACAAAGATAATAACTAGTGTTGTAGGTACATAACCTATGTAACTCAATAAAAAATATATCACTCAAAAATTGAAAAAAAAAAGTCACTTGTGTGTGAAAGTTGAAAAAAGAAAGGAATCAATTGATGAGAACAAACTAGTTTTTTTTATGAACCGACCGGGTCACTGGTTTTTACAAAAACCGGCCGGGTCGCATCGATTCCTTTATATGGCTAATCCAATATGAAAATTAGACCGATTATATGATAGGGTCATCGATTTTCATGTCGACCTACCCTGGTTGGTCAGGTTTTTATAATATTGGTTTGGATTAGTTGATGAACACTAATACCAAGTAGGCCCTAAATTTATTGTTCATATTAAATTATTAACACACTTTTATGAAAAAAAATTAAACTCAAGTATGATGATGAGGTAAAAGGTGGCAAAAAAATTAAATGTTGTTTTTTTAATAATTATTTACAAAAAAATAGTTGTTTTGCAACTAAATATGGATATATTGCACTTAGTCACGCCCAAAATTAGGCATGGCTACTCATGCTCAGAACCATACGTGACCCAGGAGAAAGTCATGCTTAACATATGGCGTGACTGGGAGAAGAGAGAGACACACCCAGCATAAGACGTGACTCGGGAGAGAAACACGCTCATGTTGGGGCGTGACTCACATTTTTGTGAAAGCACTTAGACTTATGCATTGGGGCGATACCAAGATTGCTCATGTTGTTCATGAATTTGATAATGTCCAAAGGGTGTGTTAGTGGCGAAGGGGAGGGGAGGGCCTTAGCCCAGGCTAAATTTTAAAAATTAGCCACACTTTCAACGAGGCTAAAAAAATGTGATAGTTTGTAGGCTTATTTTCACACCGTGGCCCGAACTAAATTTTTTTGGCATGGGCTTGATTGCCACGCTGGCTTTGCCGATGGTTGTGTATCACAAATTTTTTTGAAAACAATGATGAATTTTAAAGGGTCATGGTTTTATTTGTTTGTACTTTTTTTTTTAAAAAATGTCTAAATTTTTTAAAGATATTTAGATAAATTTATTTTAAAAATCTAAAATAAAAAAATAGTAATTTTTATAAATAAAAATTATTTTCAAAAAAATTATGTCGATCTACAAAATAATAGTTCAAATATTAGTACGTCTCGATCAAAATATGAAGTTATGACTTTGTGATTAGAATTATCATCCAATATTGAAAAAGAAAAAAGAAAAACCTTTGTAGTTTTTTCTTAATCTTTTGAGTAAATACCATTTTCGGTCCTCAGCAAATTTTACGATGCCCACTTTAGTCCTTAGCAAATAAAAAGGCTATTCATGGTCCTTAAAAAATTCAAACTGGACCCATTTTAGTCCTTTTGAGGGACTAATATGGGTCTTTTTTGAATTTGTGAGGGGCCACAATTTCAACTAAATGGGTCCATTTTGAATTTCTTAGGGACTACAAAAAGCCTTTTTATTTGCTAGGGACTAAAGCAGGCGTCGTAAAATTTACTGAGGACCAAAAATGATATTTACTCTAATTTTTTCCTTATATCGAATTGTTGCTTGCCGAATGTTTGAGATGGCGTCCTCCGTAAGGCCTTGTTTCTTTTTCATTTTCTTCTTCTTGTGGGCCGACTGGGCTATAATTCTTAAATTTTGATTATTTTATTATTATATAAATAAAATAATATTTATTTAATAACAATATATGAATAGTGCTAATAATTAATTCTTTCCTAAAAAATATTTATAATAATTAATGCATTTTATTATTCTTAATCATATTTATAATTTTAATATTTTATTTTTACCTCATCACACAAAATTCTATGTCCGCCACTAAAGCTAGACAGTTTGGTTAATTTTTTTTTTTGATAACAGGGAAGGCTAAGCCCAAAGAAAAACTACAAAATAAGATGTTGCATGTCAGACACAACATGCTCCATCAAAATCTTAGTTCTAGTTACATTCCAAAAGAAGGAATACTAGAAGGGGGAGAGGTAAAGAACAACAGTTCTTCAGTTTGCAGAGAAAATCAAGTTTGGCTAATCCGTTCGCACAAGCATTGAGCTCTCGGCTTCCAAGTAACTGGGTAGCACTTTTGATGCGATTTAGATGAGAGGAGTAACCATAGTAAGGAGAAAGGGTCTCTAAACACACAAGAGCATCCTTTGAATCACAGCCTATCGTAAGATCAGAGCAATTCAGATTTCTAGCAAGATTTTGGCCTTGAAATAAACCCCACACTTCCGCTTCTAAGGATGAACAAAGGCCAATATTAAAAGCAAAACCATCCATCCAATCTACAGATAAAGAACAAATAAATCCACCACAAGCCCTTTTGTTGCTGGTAGAGTTGAAAGCTCCATCTACAAATAGTTTGTATCTAAATTGGTGAGAAATATGCCCTGAAAAGCAAAGAGAACTAGGCTGGTCAGATTTATCAGTAAAAGGAGAGGCTTCACTGCACTTCTTCATATCAGCCAGATACATAAGAATATGTTGATTGGGGTCCTGGGGAATTGAAAATTTCTCCTAATGAATGGTAGAGTTTCTCCATTTCCAAAGAAATCAACAAGTCACATAAAAAAACCTCTTTCTATGAAGTCCAAAAAGAGCTGGAGACGGACTGTAGGTTATTGAGCTTGAACCAAGCCTCTCCATCTAAGGAAAAGAAATTATTGGGGATGATTCTAGCGAATCATCTCTCCTAAATTTTTCTAGCAACACTGCAGTCCCTGAGTGTGTGAATAATTGTTTCAGGGGAGTTATGGCAAGAAGGACAAAATTGATCACCCCCACTCCAATGGCAAGCTCTGTCTGTAACAGGAAGTTTATTTAAATAAGCCATCCAGAGGAAAACTGTAATCCTATAAGGTCCTTTCCACTGCCAGATGGAGGACCAAAGCTTATCAGTGTTGGAGTTAATTTCAGTGAGATGGCAATAAGCATTTTTTACAATTGACTTAGTTGAACTGTTCTTCTTCCACTTTAAGTAATCAACAACATTATTATCCATAAGGGGAGCAATAGTTCCCAACCTAGAAATAGTTGCATTGTCAAGAAAAGCTGAGAGATAATTCTAATTCGAATCTCCAGTAGTTGTCTCCACAATCTCACTCACTTTGAGATCAAGGTCAGAATGAGGTGGCTTGATAGAAGCAAGGATGAATAAATTATTTTCCCAACCTCCCCAGCTGTCTGTCCAGAAAAAGATAGAGTTACCATTTCCAATCTCCCATTCTAAAAATTGGGATATCTTAGTTCAGGCCTTACAAATGATTTTCCAAAAAGTGGAGTCACTACTTTTGGCTACAAAGCTGCGGTTTAAGTCATTGTTCCTACCATACTTGCGAATGAGAACCTGGCCCTAAAGACTGTTCTGGTTTATAGTCAAATGCCAGGCAATTTTCTGCAAAAAAAACTTCATTTTGAACTCTAAGGTTGATGATGTCGAGACCACCACTTTGTTTAGGCAAGCACATTTGTTACCAAGCAACATAACGAGCTTTGCGATTTGACTCTGAGTCCCCCCAAATAAAATTGCCATGAATTTTTTCTATGTCATGGCAAACATGAGCAGGGAGCACATTATTCTGCATATGAAAGCATGAGATGGCTGAAATAACACTCTTGGCAAGAGTGATTCTTCCAGCAAGGGACATGCACTTGGATTTCCAACCACAGAGTCTATTTTGCACACTGGAAATGACATCTGCATAATGATCTTTTTTAATTCTATCTTGTCTCATTAGGGAGCCCAAATAGCGGCCAAGGTTAGTGACCCTTTTGAAACCACTGATAGAAGTAATCTCATCTTCAAGCGCCACAAAAGCATTCTTGGAGAAATAAATACAAGATTTATCAATGCTCACACATTGGCCAGACATTTTCGAGAACTTCTCAAGGCAATGGATAATAGAGTTCAACTGATTTAAAGAAGCTTCAACAAAAAGAATAATATCACTAGCAAACATTAGGTGAGAAATCAATAGACCAGCTCTACCAGCATTAATAGGCAGCAAACTCTTCTTCTCAACTTCATCCATGATTAGTTGGGTGAGCTTCTCCAAGCAGATCACAAAAATATAAGGGGAAATGAGATTCCCTTGTCTAATTCCTCTTTGAGAATAGAAACCTGGGGTCCTAGCACCATTCTAGAGAACTTCCAGATAAGGACTAGTAACACAATCCATGATAGCTTCCACCAAATCTTCAGGTGACTTCAGATCACAAAGAACCAATATGATAAAATCCCAGCTAAACTTCTCATACGCTTTTTCTTAATCAATTTTAATAGAAAAAAAGCTTTTTTTTTCCTTTCATTCTATGCATAGAGTGCACAAGCTCTTGAGCAATAATGATGTTATCTTGTATATGTCTCTTGGGAACAAAGCTAACCTGATTAGGAGAAATAAGATTCCCAAGAAGAGGCTTGATTTTATTAGCAAGAATTTTACTAAGACCCTTGTAAACTGAGTTACAAAGGGCAATAGGCCGAAATTGCTTCATCAAACAAGGTCTGTCCACTTTTGGAATTAGAGCAATAAGAGTGTGATTGATATCTCTAATACGAGCAAGGTTGTGGAGGAAGAAGACCACGCTGTTGAAGATTTGACACTTGCGAAGATCCCAATTTCTATGAAAGAATAAGGCAGGATAGCTGATGCTTCCTGGCAAGTATATCGATCGCACAAGTAATATAGAAAGTAAGTAGAGTATCATCTCCACAAGGATTGTGATTGTATATCAATTAATTGTTCCTTTTAAGAATGGAAGAGTTCAAAAGGTTTGTGACAAATATTGTCCATTTGTGTAAAAGTGAGAACTAAAAATAAAGACTTGTTTTTGTAATTTTGTTTATAAAAAATAGAACAATAAACTGAGAATTGATTTTTATAAATGTGAGAAAAACATTGTAGCTAGAGCGCACTCACCTTCTGATCCCCACTTCTTACTTTGGATTGATTTAAAAATACTTATTTCTATAAATACTTAGATAATTATCATATAGAATTAATTAGTTAAATTCCAATCCCTTGGCAATTTAACCATTTAATCTCAATCGGAATCCTAATCCCTTAGTAACCCCTCATGAGAATTAAGCAATAAACAAGATAATTCAAGCATCTGCAATTCATTACACATCTATTCCTAGCATGCATACGAACCGTTATCCTACCCCTTTTCAGGATGAAAACCCCAATATTCTTATCTAGGGTTCTAACCCTCAAACTATCCTCAACTATCAGATTGATCAATTCTAATGAAGAGAATATAAATACGCACAGGATAGAGATAAAGACAATTTATATAAACGAGTAAAAATAAACCAATCCGTCGTAACAAGGGTTCATATCGGGTTTGTGATCCTAAATACAATAAAAAGTAAAACTAGCCAAGCATAATCATGGCTAAAAATCCAATATTCAATAAAAGCATAAAATTAAAGAGAAAGTAGAAGAAGAAGAACTTGCCCTTCAGAATCCTCTCAGAGCTCCATCGTCGTCCCACTTCAATAGAATAGGTCTGGATCCCTAATTCTGTCATAAGGATCCTATTTATAATCTCGCTTCTTTCTTCCAAAAATACCCTTGAGAAAACACGGTACTCCTTCCCGCAAACCGGCGCCAGTTGGCGCTGGTATGGCGCCACTTCGCGCCACGCTTCTATTAGAATTGAAAAGTCAGAATCGGTTATACGTACGCCATCCTTCTACTTTTTGGGCGCCAGTTGGCGCCATTCTTCCTCTCATCTTGGGCGCCATAAGTTTGGCGCTAGTTGGCGCCATTTTGGCGCCACTAGGCGCCATGCCGCTGCCTCGTGCATGAAATTCTGGCGCCGCTTTGCGCCATTTTGGCGCTAGTATTCGCCAATTCTCTGCCATTTGGCTCACGACTTTTATGCATCATTGAAATTCTAGCAGAGTGGTGTAGATCATAAGGCTTCCATAATTTCCATATTTTTGTTCTTCTTTTACTTATATAAACACAACAATAGGTGAGAAATATCTTTGATATAGAAAGAATCAATATAATTAGCAAATATGTATTTACATTGCTCTTTAATGACTCAATTCTTATCAATTTCAACTTGAAAAACCACATCTGCCAGAGGCACATCAAATCATTCCCAGATTTAAACGTTGTTGTCCCTAGCAATGTACAAGACTAAATCCAGGAAATATACAATTAATCTAACATAACAATTCATAGACACTCTCAGACACATTATGCCATGCATGACTGACCTAATATCATAAGCTTCCAACAATGTCATCAGCTTCTTAAAGAAATAAGTCTACATTGATTACCCCTCACATAGATAAATAATGTCCACTCAACACTCAGTGTTTAAGGGTATCTTGAGCACTCAATCAATCACAACTATAACACTACCATAGGCTTGATCATATTCTAAAAAATTCTTAAAAATGAAGAATCAAACACATGCACCAGTTGATCAAAAGGACTTCATAGGTTGTAACTTGGCCGGGTTGAGGGGTAGGAATATATTGATAGTAGCTCAAACAACAATGAGATTGAAAACTGATATTATTTCTCTTTAACACATTCAACTCAATGGTTTTGCTCTACTAACATTCCCACAGAATTTCGGGAATTAATTCCTTTCAGCCACCTTTTATTTACATTCACCCTTTTTCTTTTTCTTACTTTTTTTTTGGTTTAAGGGCACAAATGAAATTTTACCTCCCCTGATTACTTGACCTCTGTGGAGCTTACCTCAATTTCTTTGTTTTATTTTCAACACATCAGTAATTCAATCTCAATTAAGGTAAGTCACTTGAATATAGGCTAAGCCATCGATCAGGCCACATGTCATTTATCAACAAAATAAGTTCAGGCTCAAGGAGACTAGCAATGGAAAAATTTCATACAGGTGGATTATTTTTGGCCAAAAGCTAACAAGAACAAAATGTCTTTATCACTTCAACCAATGCATGCATAATAGAGAAACAGATTAAGTTCTAGAATGTTACAACAGTGAGGTCTCTCAACAAGAAAATTCAGTGTTTAAGCTCAAACCTCACAGCTATGGTATCAATATAGACTCAAGAAAATTGACCTCAGACATTATCAGAATTCCACAACATCAGTTCAGACAAACGAGCAATCATGTAATCTAATTATACCTATGCAATGTTATGCCAGAAAGTCATACAATATACTTCTAAGAATTCAGTCAAGCACATTTAAACCTGAGAATTTCTTGAAAAACAGATCAATCAATTTTTTTTTTAAGATATAAAAATAAAGATAAAGACAAAATACTAACTAAAATGACTAAGAAAAATTAAAAGAGTTTAGAATATCTCCCCTGATAAAAGTATTGCAGTTCCAAAATGCTTTCCTAAAGCCTACCATTCCCAGATTTAAAGAATTGCTGTCCCCGGCAATAATCAATCCCAAAAGATGGATGATAAACCTGCACCAAGGAACAAACTGTGGCATATAGGATACTATAATGCGCAC